TATGCAACATGCTATAAAATAATGCAGAATGCCATTTGCCAGTGATTTTTAATATAATAAGTTGAATTTCGGAATCAAGAACTAGGGTTATGGTCATGCTGGCAAGTAAACCACGAAGCTTAGAAGCTTTAGTTTCAAAGAGGAACTGTTGATTCTGATCTACCTAAACCACGAAACAAGGTCAACAAAAGTAGAGCTAACAACCTCAACAGAACAGAAAATATCACAGTTCTCAGATAAATAATGGGGTAACCTGTGGCTTAGAGTCACAACCAATCCAAAACTGGACTCTTTGTATCCTCCACCATCAAGTAAAAATGTCAAAATAAGTGACTTTGGTTGTACTCATTTCAACAACCAGAAGTACAGAACTACTTGAATAATTGAAAAGATCTAATAAAATAAAAACACTTAGAAGTAGGGACGCAAGAGAAAAAAACAATTATCATCAATGTTGACAAACAAGATTCCTCAGAAATAATGGTTTCAACCATAACAATTTTCTTCATCTTACTTACCGAACAAAAAAAAAATCTTCATCTAGGACTAGCAGGCAGGCATGCACAATACGCTGGTGAAATTAAAAAATCCTAACACGAGAAACTTTGATTAAGTTTATGTAAAATTATTTTTATTTTTATTTTATTTTACAGAAAAGGAGGTAATATTTAAAAATTTCTAATTCCTGAGCCACCAGCCACCTGATAAGCATGGTTTGACTTGGTAACTCACAAATTTGGGAAATCATCAGAAGTTCATTCACTACTTCCAATATAGATACATCAACTGAAACCAGTCATGTGAATTCACTTTTTCCATTCCACTTCAGAATTCATAAATCTAACACAAATTCATGTTCCAGATTTGTCTTTGTCGGCCAACGAAATGAGTCAGCTGATAGCTAGGGAAAAAAAAAATGAATCAACTGATGTTTAAAAATAATGCTCTCCACATACTAATTTGTCATTAAATGTGATGCTTACAACCATTTCCTTGAATACCTTACCAGCAGGTTTCTCTCATGCATCTTGGGTAATCCATCTCCACATGCAAAACTTGCTCTCAGAAAAAGGTAGTATCAGTCACAATTTTTATTTATTTTTAATTGTTTGCACCCAAGGGGTGTTGAACCCTAGACTTGATGCTTCATCAGGCACTAGGGCAGAGTGACTTCAAAACTTGAGCCAACCCCTTAAGGTTGTATCAGTCACAATTTTCATTTAGCTATGACTAAAGCTAAAATTATGGGGTCATCACTTCACAGACTAATAGGGTTCATTTCTTCGATGTCCTCGCAGTAGCAACAAACAGGAACACCACTCCTCAGTCCTCCTAGGTTCCCCAACAACCAAATTAATCTAGCCTAGATAAAATGGAACACCTCCTATGAAGTATGTCAAGGAAAAAACAAATGCGTGTTTTAACATCATCTTGTATAGTTACTTTTAGCAGAAAATAGGCATGCTACCATTCATAAAGCCCTCGTGTCCAATAATTCCCTATCAATTACATAATCCTCGTCTTAAGGTTTAAGTGAAGATAATGGAATTCCTCCATAGAATTTGCTCTTTAGAAAAAAAAATTGTTGAAAGCAGCAATTTATATATTATAGTTCAATCATGCAGGAACTACAATACCCTGATCCACCATTGATCCGATTGCATGGCTTCAATATGGTACAAAAAGTAAGTGCCTGTTCTGTGGAAAGTAATAAAATCCGTTATATTCTAAAACAGGGATATATGTCCAAGGAACAGATTCAGCAAAATTCAGTCAAGTCACATTGAACTCACAATTATATATGGAATTCAAATTTCTTCTTTTTGAAGGAAAGGGGAGGGGGGACTTTGGCATATGGCAGACTGCAAACAAAGGTCAAATGTCAAAAGTCTTGACCCTGTTGACAAGAACAACAGGAACAGGAACAGGAAATAAACTCAATCCGCATAAACTTACCATCATTCCTTAAAGTATACTATTACATACTATACAGAACTTTAAAATGAGCACATATCTGGATTAGATGCTCTCCAACTAGAAGAGGAAGATAAACAAAACAGAACAGCATAACTTTAAAATGAGCAGATATTTGGATTAGATGCTCTCCAACTAGACTAGGAAGATGAACAAAACAGAACAGCAATCTTGTGAAAATTTGGCTGTTGGAAAAGGAAAAGACCTATGATCCCCTTGAGACAATTATACAATTGAAAAGAGTCGCATAACTCCTAGAATTAACTAGTTTATTGTATACTAAACGGGGAAAATAAACACCGACTGTTCAGCAATTTTGAGATGAGACTGTTGCTTACAGTCAAAGATGAAAACCTTCACTTCACCACAGATTAGTCAATTCACACAATTTTCACAATCTTGGCCACCATAATTGATTTTTATTTCTTTTCCAATTTTAATATCCCAAGAGTCTGACATTGCTGCTCTCTGCCGCCACCAACACAATACATTACAATTAACAAACAACCCAAGCAAACACAAGGGATCATACAATTAGCATTTTAAAGTACTTTTGCCGCTTTTGGGGGAAAAAAAAAATTGTGTGATCAAGGGATCATAAATTGTGTGATGAAGGGATCAAACAATATTCGTATGCTCAATGCAATCAATAGTGAAACAAAGAAATTCATTTGTACACAGCAGACATGTATAGCTCCAAAAACCAATCTGCCCATGTGTTCTCATATCCACGCAACGATGGCTTATCACTTCATTAAAACATCTATTCACAACTAAAATGCATTCAAATCAAACAAAAGTCAAAATTATGCCGCCATTGAGTGAAGCATAACTATATATCAAAACATAACAAGAATGAAAAAGAAAGTAGTATATATCAAGAAACAATCAACCCATGATCATGCTCGCCGCGGCGTGAAGTCCCCTCAACAAGAAGTTGTGCGGAAATCGAGTCACCGACAACACGAGCGCCGGCCACAAGGAGGAGCCAACAAGACTCAATTTTTAAATTGCATTCTATCCATCAAACAATCAACGCCAAATTGGACTTTTTCCGGAAAAGAGCCCAGGCGGAGAGATCAGCCGAACGGTGGAAAGCCGTGTTAACTCAGACCGGGTTAAGGAGAGAGACGGTTTTTTTGGGAGTAGATTAGGGCTGGGTCGGTTTTGAATTTTCGATTAAAAATGGTTCCTGAAGAAGATGGTTGCGATGGCGTGAACAGAGGCTGAGGAGGAGGTTGGGGCGGTGTTTAAAGACATTAAAGGGCTAAAATGGTTGAAACGACGCCGTGGGAACTCTGGCCAACGCGGCCGGGACGGTGGTATTTAGCCGTTCTATCCCTGCTCTAATGGACAATGGAATGTGGGACCCATTAGAACGGTCTAAAATTTGGCCCATGGGCCCCACTTTCAACCAAAGGTCGTCGTTTGGCTCTCCGATCATCGGGTACTAGTCGGCACACGATTTTCGGCTCGGTTTGCTTCGAGTAAAATATTCTTTTTAATTTTATTTTTTTGAATGTTTGAAAAATAAAAATAATATTATTGACGACTTTGATGTCACGACAGAATTGATAGAAATAAAAATATGAAGTGATTTAAATAGGCATCATTACTATTTATATTTGCTTTTGATATTAATTTCTTTTGTTATCTTTTTAGTTTTCCTAGCTATTTTCACAGCAAATTTCATCACACTCAAATTTAATAATTTGATTTGTATAAAATGTAGACCTAAAATTGTAATATTTTTATAATTTTTCATGATTTGCAAATATATATATATATTTTTTTATAAAAAATTATTTTCTTGAGTTTCTAAGAGTTAGATTGATCATTTATTTTGATAATTATAGCAATTAATAAATGTCTAGTAATAGATGTATATTAATGATCAAAGACAAAGACATAATCCGGAGTAGGGATGTCAATTTTTACCGCCCCGCCCCGTCCCGCCCGGTTAATAATGGATATGGGAACACTTGTTATATCGTTGGGGCGGACATGAATACAAATTTTGTACCCGTCGAGGGTCACGGGGCGGGTAAGGGTTCAATATACATATCCTAGGGGCCCCGCCCCGTCCCGCCCTGCATATAACTATATTTAATATATATATATATATATATATATATATATATTAATAAGTTATTTTAGCGGCTTACCCAATTACCCATCTCTTATAATCCTAATTTGGGATATAAACTTGGTATTAAATTTGCTTTTGTTTTGGTTATGGTAGAAGTTGGAGCTTAGAACTTCTTGTGATTTGGTTGTATTAAACTTTTATTTTTGTTTATTATGTTCATGTGCATGTTATTTTTTATTTATTTATTAGGATACATAATTTTATTTATGTTGTGTCATTCCTAGGCTTTGCACATTTAAATAGCAGTAGTTTAAGTTCCAAAAAGTGGGAGAAAAAAATTTGTTAGTGGGGCGGGCACGGGGGCACAGTATTTCCTAACGGGGCGGGGTTGGATATGAAAATTCAACCCGTCGCGGGTCTCGGGGCGGGCATGGACTTGATAAAAATTAAAAGGGGCGGGGTGGGATTTAGAGAAACCCGCTCCAAACCCGCCCCGTTGCCATCCCTAATCTGGAGTATCTTAATAATCTTTACAGGTAAGCAATTTAAAATATAAAACAAATATATATATATATATATATATGGTGGTTGAAACTTTAATTGATAACAAAAATATTATATTAAGATAACCCTAGAAAAAGGGATTATATTTTAAAATGATTTCATTATATTTTATCTATGGGTAATCATATACACTCCATAAAGTAATAAGTTTTTATTTACAGGGCAAAAAGCATGACCGTTTAAAAAATTTCAAAGAAGGGATATGTTTTTTTTCACTCCGTAGTAAGTTTTAATATTTTGAAAATAATTTACGGCAATTAAACACTAAAAAATTAAAAATTATTTTACAGTATAAATTTATACTTACGTGGCAACGCATAATTGGATATAAAACGGTAACAGCGGTGGGCTTCTCTGTAAAGAAGCAAGACCTAGGCATTCGTGCAGACCAAGTAGTTCTCTTCCGAAGTCAACGTAGAGCCAAGGAAGACTCACTGTACACAGTCACATACATGTAAACACACATTATCGAGGGATCTGAAAATTGTGTTCGGTCTGGAAAGAAATGGAAGACGGAGGAGGGGTGTCGAAGGCAGTGGCAGTAACGGCTTGTACAACAATGGCTTTATTGTACGTTGCAATTCTCTACGCACCGACTCTAATACTTCGCCTCTCACCACCCAACTCCTTCGAGACTTTCTTGATTCGACGCTTCATATGCGCTGCTGTTTCCTCCATCGTCTCGGTCATCCTCTGTGCATTCATATTGCCTGTAACTTCTCTATCTTTCTCTCTCTCTCTCTCATATATATATATATATATACACACCCTTTCTTTCTTTTTCTTTTTTATTGATAAAGATTGAGTTTTGGACCCTATATATATGTGTGTGTGTCTGTGTGAATCTATATGTACATGTATGGTTGGTATTATGTGTTAAATGCAATGAATTGAAAATTATTCTTGCAAGATTGTTGGTTACTTTTGGAACATGTATTATTTTGGAAACCCAAACCCTAATCCAAGAAATCCCAATAGTAGTTGAATTGCGTCAAATTATTCCAGTAGTTTGATAGTGGGTTTGGTCAGCGAGTTAGAATAGTTCGTCTAGTGTTTAATTGGAAAAAATGGAACTTGGATGTGGAGGACTGTCTGTGTGGATGGAACCCTAAGACGTGAAAGAGAATTAGTGAAGCCGACCCGAACTTGTTGTGACAATGGTTTTGTTGAGACGAGGTGTAATTTGAATGGCCCATTAACTTCAAGCTCTTGACTTCAAGAACTAGTTGATGGCTTATAACATATCCTTGCAATTTATCTCTGCTTTTTGCTGACTTTCTAACAATTCACCAGAAATGTCATGTAACTTCCCTTCAATTGACTTGTTTAGTTTTTGGATTTGATCTAGGTTTGTTAATTTCTCAACCCCTGCTCAGCAGTGATGGACCTAGAAAATTATGAGAGGGGGCAAACTTGTATAGTGGGGTTTTTTTTTTGTAATTTCAGTGGGGTCAATTTTAAAATTTTATGGGTATATAATACAAAAAACTAAAAATTCAGGGGTATATAGCCCATGGTAGATCCGTCCCCATCAGGAGATTCCAATCTTGAAGGATGAAAATAGGTGTATTAGCTCAGCAATCAGTATAGTACTTTGCTCTAAATGGATATTTAAGATTTGAAGGGAATAGTTTAAATGCCTAATTTTATATGCATTGGATTTCGCTCCTTTCTGCTTATTGTGTTCTTTTTCTTATACAGTGTATATTTTTGCAAATATCTTAACCGAGCACAACCATCTTCAATCACGGTAGATTTCTATCGGAATAGCTGACATTGTTTACTTGTTTTTTTGTTCTGACTATACTAGATAAAAAGCTGGGAGCTTTCTTATGTGTTTGGTGTTTATGGCATCAGATCAGATCATATTGTGAGTATTGAATTTTGAATTTATTATCTTTGTTTAATTTTCTAATATATGTGTGAGCACCAGAATTGAGCCAATATTTTCTGTGCAGTAGTTATCAATTTATATTCTTTTATGGTTTGCAGATTGGAAAAGCGTGATTGATTGCTAAATTTGCCTGCTGAAATGCAATTTTATGTATGAAACAGTGGCAGGCTGTGGTCTTTCCTCTTTCCTTGACTTCTTTAATGTACGCTGGGTCTTTGGTCCTAAAGTCCCTATCACTGCTGAATTCTTTAAACGAACATTGGAATAGTCTCGGAGACCATGCATCTGACTGTATCAAGAATGTTCTGCAAGAATTTACTGGCTGGATGTTTTCAGTTGCTTCCAGTGTTTCAGCTTGGCGTAATTACTTTGTGGTCAGTATCTTCTCCAGTTGTTAGACCGTTCAGTTAATGTCCACATGCTTGTCGTTGGTGTGGAAATATTGACACACACACATATATATTTTTCGTTTATTTCTTCTGCATTTTGGGTAAATAATAGAAGAGTTGAGTGAACAAAAGATCCAGAGGAGGTTCATGGCCAAGGATGATGATGTTTAGGTAATGATTATATAGGAATATACCAGTCGTATTAACACTTAACAAGGCATAAATGGGCATTATATTGCTAAAACAATGGGTTAGCAAGTTATCATACTACTAATTCAAGCAATTTGCTGTGAATAGAGAGAATTTGGTAAGAACGTTATGTAAAAGAGCTATTTGTGTCTTAGGTTTAGGGAACAATTAATAGAAAAAGAGAGAAACAATAAGGAAAAAAACATTTGATGCATGTGACCACACACACACAAGCACACATGCACTTGCACACAGACTCATTTGCTAACCCAATTGCTAACTTGAAAATGCTGATTTTTGACAATCCATTTAAAGTATTGAGAATTAATATCAGCGCAAGATGATATTTCATTAAAAATAAGCAAGACATCGTGGAATATTCTCTACAAGACCTAAAATTGACGTATCTAAGTATGCAATACACTATGGGAACAAGGCCCTAAAACAATCTCAAATGAGCAAAACCAACTCATGTCTTTGATTTTATCACTGGTTGAAGAGTTAATGACCACTCGATAAGAAGGGTAGCTATGTTGCACTATAACAATGAAAAACTGTAACCATTAATACTGCCAAGTGCTTGATTGCCCCATCCTTGAAAAGTAGATTCCGCCTTCATGTATAAACTTGATGTCGTTTGAGTGTATATCTGTGTTTTTATAAATCGATGGATGCTTATATGTATATTCTTTTCCGCTTTGAACATGTGGATATGGGTTTCGTGGTACGAAATTAAGACATAATGTCTAGAGGTTTGCTATAACAATTATAGTGTACAGGTTTGTTTACTCATCAATGTTAGAGCCCAAAAAATAGAAGGGATCAATTTTTCTTTGTTTGCTTGTTTCTTGAAATTTATCATACGAAGGGCTCATATTTGATGCAATTCACCTTTCATCACCAGTTGTTCTTTGGTCAATTGTAGTTTTATTGGTTGAAGATGGAAATTTGAAATATTTATTTTACATTACACCAATCATTGATATTACTTTATTAAACAGGCACCACTTACAGAAGAGCTGGTATTTAGAGCGTGTATGATTCCTTTGCTTCTCTGTGGAGGATTTAAAACATATACTGTAATATTTTTCTGCCCTATATTCTTCAGCTTGGGTAAGTTGATTGATTTCGGCTTCAGCATATTCTACATGTTTTTGTTAATCTAGAATCTAGTTGGGTTATTAAGTTGCACTAGTGATTCATGATGTTTTAATCTAGAATCTAGTTAGGTTATTAAGTTGCACTAGTGATTCATGATGTTTTTTCTTTCGAGTGAAGAGTCACCATGCAGTTATTATTTTGACAAACAGCTGTAGCACTGACATTAAGGTTTACCTTGACAGATGTTTCACTCACTGATTGACCCCAGATTGCTTTAGAATTAAATTTGGAAACCATGGTCATTCACCTTATAAGGAAAATATATTGTTTCACTGATGCTTCTGTACGTGAATGACGAAATTGAGATGCTTGTATAGAGCAAGAAAGAATTTCTGAAACATCATTTGAGCTATGTGATATTAGAACAGATGCTTTCAGAAGATTTCATGTTCTTATGTAATAATAATCTGCTGTAAATTGTATTGTAAAAAGTTTAGTTTTGGTTTTCACTTTTACAAATTTGATGATGTTTTCATGATGGAAAAAAAAAAAATTTGATGATGTTTTCATGATGGCAAAAAAAAAAATTGATGATGTTTTAGAGAATACTAGATGATTTGCTAATGCTATTCTTTGCTGTACCCTGCTTCTAAATTCTGATTGAAGACCTCTAAAATCCAGGAACATTTAATATATATAACATTTAAGACATCTAAGGAGCATGCAAAATAATAGGACCTGTATCCATGTCAAATATATTGGATAATTCTTGGAAATGCCAAAATTCATATCAGTCACAACTTAGATGTGCCTATGATATAATATGTATGAATATATATATATATATATATATATATATATATATATGTTGTAAAGCATAAAACAGAAGTGAAGAGAGAAATGAAACATGAAGAACACAAGGCCTACATCCACGGCACAAAGAGCCCAAAGGGCTACATCACTCATACATATATATATGTGTGTGTGTGTGTGTATATATTGTAAAGCATAAAACAAAAGTGAAGAAAGTAATGAAACACGGAGAACACAAGGCCTACATCCACGGCACAAAGAGCCCAAAGGGCTACATCACTTTATAATATATTCTCTCTTAATCTTTGTATACAATGATCACCTCTATTTATAGGTGAAATAATAGAAGTGATAAATATGGAACATACATTAATGGAAGATTCCCAAAATCAATATCATAAATCACTCCAATCAATATTCTATCATATTCTAAAATCTCTCCTATGATATTTTCATATCAAATATTCTGTCAAGGAGTAATTTAAGGGTTCCTATAATACTATTTTTCAAATATAACATCTTCTAACACTCCCCCTCAAACTGAAGAGTGTACGGAAATAACGCTCAGCTTGTATATCAAATCATGAAACAGATCATTTTCCAACGATTTGGAAAAAGACAATAAAACTGTTAAGAGACATGGTGAATGCGAAGAACAATGCTACCGAATACATAGCCCAAATAAGTCCAAATAGCACCAAACACATGTCGAAGGTGACGAACAATGCTACCGAACACACCGGCAGCCCAAATAAGTCAATAAAAATTGCCGGAGACACGGCAAAGGCGAAAACATTACCACCGAACAAACTGACAACCCAAACAAGGCATAAATAGCACCAAGAAACCCTTAGCAACATTTCAGATGCTAAGGGAATACCCCAAAATAGGGGTCTGAACCTAGGAAGAAAATTAGGCTCTGATACCATGTTGTAAAGCATAAAACGGAAGTGAAGAGAGAAATGAAATACGAAGAACCCAAGGCCTACATCCACGGTACAAAGAGCCCAAAGGGCTACATTACTTCATAATATATTCTCTCTTAATCTTTGTATACAATGATCACCTCTATTTATAAGTGAAATAATAGAGGTGATAAATATGGAAAATACATTAATGGAAGATTCCCAAAATCAATACCATAAATCACTCCAATCAATATTCTATCATAGATTAAAATCTCTCCTATGATATTTTCATATCAAATATTCTGTCAAGGAGTAATTTAAGGGTTCCTATAATAATATTTTCCAAATATAATATCTTCTAACAATATATATATATATGGGATTAAGATAAGGATGGTGATGATGGTATATGTATAGATAAATAATATTCAATGTAGCATACCCAGTGTTGTTGGGGAAAAGGCTTTGTTGAGTTGAATATATATAACATTCAATATTTTAGATATGTTGGGCATGCGCCTTACACATCGTCGACATTGAGATATGAACACTTGTCTGTCATTGTGAATGGAGCTCCGACGGATTTTTTCTCTTCTTTGAGAGGGTTGAGACAAGGGGATCCGCTTTCTTCATTCCTGTTCCTTTTTGTGATGGAAGCTCTTAGCAGATTACTAAAGAAGGCAGTGGAGTTAGATTTTTTGAGAGGCTTTCGGGTGGGCAGGGATGTTTCTAACCAACTAGAGATCTCTCACTTGATGTTCGCGGATGATACTTTAGTGCTTTGTGATGCTGATGAGTCTCAATTGAGATATTTGAAATGCGTTTTGATTTGGTTCTAAGTTGTCTCTGGCCTTAAGGTGAATGTTGGTAAGAGCATCCTGGTACCTGTTGGGGATGTCCCTGAGATCAAGAGGTTTGCTCAGATTCTTGGATGTTGCACCGGATCCTTTCCCATTTCTTATTTGGGGTTGCCTTTGGGAACTCCTTCGAGATGCGTAGGGAGTTGGGATCCAGTTGTAGATAGATTTGAGAGGAAGCTGGCGGGTTGGAAAAAGCAGTATCTCTCAAAGGGGGGTCGGGTTACTCTGATTAAGAGCACCCTTTCTAGCCTCCCCACTTATTTCTTCTCGCTCTTTCAGATCCCATCTTCTGTGGCTGAGAGAATAGAGAGATTGCAGCGCAACTTTCTTTTTTTTTTTTGGGGGGGGGGAGAGGAGTTCAAATTTCATTTGGTTTGATGGGAGCAGGTGTGCCGTTCGATTCGGTGTGGAGGTTTAGGATTAAGGAGATTGGTGCTTTTCAATAAGGCTCTCCTTGGGAAATGGTTATGGAGGTTTGGGATTGAGAGTCATTGGCTTTGGAGGAGAGTTATCGCAAGCAAGTTTGGGGAGATTAGTGGTGGGTGGTGCTCTGTTGAGATTCGCGGTACTAGAGGGGTGGGGGTCTGGACTATTATTCGGAAAGGGTGGGATGATTTTTGCAAGCATGTTTGCTTTCGGATCAAAGATGGCAGAAGGATCAGATTTTGGGAGGATCTTTGGTGTGGGGAACTTCCTCTTGCTCTTGCTTTTCCACGGCTCTATAGGATTGCTTCTCATAGACAGACCATGGTGGTTAACTGTTATCACCTTGATAACGGGAGACTGAGTTGGGATGTTCAGTTTAGGAGGCACTTTCAGGACTGGAAGATTGAGGCTGTTACTCGTCTTTTGGAAGTTTTGTACCGTCAGGCGATCATTGTTGGGGATTCGGATTGCTGGTTTTGCGTTCCTAACTCTCACGGTCGGTTCGAGGTTAGGTCATTCTTTAAGTGCCTTTCGGTTGATTATGGAGGCTCTTTCCCTTGGAAGTCTATTTGGCGGTCTAAAGCCCCCCTTAAGGTTGCCTTTTTTGCATGGACTTCCGTCCTAAGCAAGATTTTAACCCAGGATAATTTGAGGAGGAGGAATCAGGTGGTGGTCAATCATTGTTATATGTGCTTGTGTGATGAGGAGACAATTGACCACCTCCTTTTGCACTGCAGTATGGCCAGAGATTGTTGGGATTTGATGCTTGGATTATTTGAAATCCATTGGGTTATGCCTAGGTCTTCTAGAGGGTTGATTGAGGCTTGGAGAGGTGTCTCTGTTGGGGCTCTTATTCGGGAGGCTTGGAGGGCTACGCCTCTTTGTATTTGGTGATGCATTTGGTTCGAGCGAAATAGGAGATATTTTGACGGAAAGAAGAAATCTATTTCTATGCTTAAGTTCTCTATTATTTCCACTCTTTTTTGTTGGGTGTCAGGGAGAGATTATAAATCCATTGAGGAGATTATTGTATTCTTGGCCTCATTGAAGATTTAAGGCGCTTTGTGGCCTTTTTGTTATCACGGGTTCTGCTCTCTTTTTTTTTGAGCGTTTTCAATAAATTTTACTTATCAAAAAAAAAAAAAAAAGGATTATCAAAGTTTTTCAAATTGTGAAAATATGATTGACTGATGGAAATGTTTTTCTCAGTTCAACCTTAAGGCCCTCGGCTATATATAATTTTTGATAAGTGAAGAATAATTAGAGGGGTGCAAATAGGGGATCAGGGAACCTCATTGACATCCAAAAATTGTTCCCGCTTGAGAAAATAGATCAGTGTGTCCACATGCTCAAATGTGCACGGATTTCTACATCAGTCACACCACATAAGACATAGTGATTGCCTCTTAAACTCGTCTTATTGTTTTACAAGGACAACCTCCTCTCACACCACATAAGACGCAACAACCATCTCTTAAGCTCATCTGATTGTTTTACAAGTACAACCTCTTGGCTATTTGATTACATGCATATATACTTCTGTCTCTGAGACCCTTGGTGTGAACCTACCATGAATGGAGATACACTACCCTATTGAAATCATTTTCAAATCACTAAAACCTGACCTTGAGGAAATAAAAAAAATAAAAAATAAAAAAATCTTGTTGTAGCATCTGTTACCTTTTTTATTTTTTATTTTAAAGATGGAAATGGATTTTGCCATTTATCTCGTGATATACTGAGGTGAAATATTTTGCATTATCATTATTTTGCAGCTCATCTAAATCATTTGTTGGAGTTGTATATGCAGCAAAACTATAGCTTGCTAAAAGCTTGCTCAATTGTAGGTATGTGATTCTTCTTTCTCTTAGGGGAATCCGTATGTGATATTTGATTTAGAAATAGTTCAGAGAGAAGGTTGTTCATATTTCTTCTTTACCCTTTTTTTATTTTATTTATTCAACTTGAAAATTTTCATACATTGAAATGGAGCAGAAGCACTCATCTACAATGTAGTTCTGATCCATGAAGCGGTTATGTGCCAATTCCTTATTCCCCAGTGGATTTTCTGTATTCAACAGGTCTTCAGCTTGGATACACTGTGATTTTTGGGTGGTATGCGTCATTTCTGTTCATTCGAACAGGTTGGTATAGGCTTTTGAAACCTAATATGATTATTTGGGGAATTTTTTGGTAACATAATTCATTGGATTTTATAAAACATTTTTGGTTTTTTCGTAGTTTGCCATGACACTCGATATTTTTTTATTGTGATTGAAGCTTATGGCTCATCCATCTTCACGATGTGATGTGCATTGTGAACTCTCTTGATTTTTTGGAAATTAAATTACCAAAATTGAGAATAAAATTCGAAAGTATGATTCTGTTTGTTCGATATGTTTACCATGATCTATCAAAACAAATTGGTGGCTATGTTGCAAGTTGCAAAAATTATGTGCAGAAATGGAAGGAAAAATCAGTATTTTATCTTCAACATTCTGGTTTTTGTCCCTTCTGTTGCATCCTTCATTCAGGATTCTCCTTCCGCGCACTTTGAGCTCACATGGAGCATATTCCATATTTAGGTTAATGGTTGATGTTGTGTTCCTTGTATAGCGTTGACATGGAAAATGAAATTTGTTCTTTCTTCAATAATGCAAGGGCATATATGGTCTTTGTTTTGTTATCTGTTTCTGCTTTAGTGATACATCCAACATTTGTCTACTGCAGGGCATCTTATTGCTCCGCTAGTTGCCCATATATTTTGCAATATTATGGGCTTGCCTGTTATGTATTCCCAGAGGAAAGGTATGTTAATTGATTTTCTCTGTAAACCAAATCCATATATGACTTTATCTTGTTCCATTGTGTGAATTACTTTTCCTTAAAGATAATTTACATTACTATTTATGGTTCGAATGCAATTCTAGATTTACATGGTTAGAATGTCCTGTAAAATAGATACTTTGCTTATGGATTAGTAATGCTAATGCTCTTCATTAGTGTGACCACTTGTTCAATGTTAGTTTTGACTCCATTTTCTTTTGTAGATTGGGGTTGTATTTTAATTGGTTGTTAACCTTCATTCGCTTATGTAAGAGGAATTATATGCGGAGGAGTTTTACAATCTAGAACTTTAAAAATAGTATACAAATAGAATTCTAAACTGTGACTTCAAATAGGAGCCTAGTTGGTTTTTAGAATTTTGTCTAAATTTGGTTGGGGGTAAACCATGCTATGAGAGGCATACTACCACTACTACAATTCTCAAGATCGCTCATATATAACATAGGCTGCATTTGGTTGATCGGGTATGAGACCTTGATAGAATTGGATATGTTAATATACTATTTTCCTATCTCAGTTTTTGGATCAAACCATGTTAAAGTACTGCATATGGCATCATGTCTTAATCATGCATTTGAAGGAGTTGTAGATAAAGGTGTAGCATGTATGCATCAAATTGTTAAGAGCAGGAAGTTAGGACAGCACTGGGAAAGGTGGAAGAAGGATATGGAAGAATGGACTTTGCTCTCGTCACTGGAATCTTCTTCAGTTCTTTGTCTTAGGTTTTTACCAGTCTCATATCTTTCTAGTGGTCCGATACAATTTGGATTGTGCTGAAATGGCTGAAAAGGTATGAAACAAGTTGAAATTGGAGCGGAGATATAAATAAAGAAAACGAGGTGGATATGTCGATGAAGTTTTCCATTGAAATGGAATTTAGGCCAGTTTTGAAATAGGGTGCTGTTAATATCAATTTGACACTTAATTATGAATAAATTACATACTTATTCATTTAAGTGTGTTTAATAACAATTTAGATACCACTTAAGAGAACTTATCAAAAAAATATATATATAGATACCACTTAAAAGAACATATTTCACAAAAATGTCTTTATTGCCTATGCCTTTGCTAACAACTAACAAGTATATACGACACCATAACAATTTGCGTAATTTTGTAACTGATATATTTTTTATTTAGTAACATATTTATTTCTCTTAAAGATAGGCAATAAAGTCATTTTACCTCATTATTTAACAAACAAGCAATGGCACAAGGGTAAGTTGCAATTATTTTTATAGATAGGGATGTCCCACAAAATGGTAATATAGGAGGGTTAAGTGGAATTAAGCCAATATAAACAAATATAAAAAAGATTATTAATTTGTAATCAACACTTATAATTTACTCTGTACACTAATAATAATAATAATAATAATAATAATAAAGAAAAAGAAAAGAAAAAAAAAAGACGACTTACAATTTAAGCACTTAAAACTAAGCTCTTGAAACTTTCAACTTTCAGAACTTGACCTAACAAATTTGGCCTAAAAAAACATCTTTTGTGCCATGTTAACTACACGACATTCTTGTAGGTTTGATTATTACTACCTGGGAGTCAGGAATTTGATTTTAATATTTAGTTTTTCTTGCATTTTTATCCTTGGAGATTTTCTCACCCTGAGCCTCTGTTTTGATAATTATTTCAGGGATGGTTGGTGTGGCATTTATAGCCGGAATGGTTGGTTTCGTGTGGCTTCTTTTTCCAGTCACAAGTCCGGATTTGTATAATGGTAGAACAGATTATTGCAGGTGTTGGCATAGATATTGTACGCGAAACTAAACCTTTGAATTCTTAAATGAATGTATAAGAATAAAAATTGGGACACAGAAATACAAAAGCTTGACCTTTTGTTGTTGTTGTTTTGTGTGTTACTGCCCTGTATTTTTCTTTATTTATTAATTATTTTCATTGCTTGATGGCCTTTATATTTGGAAGCGGGACAGCCTCCATGGAAAGTAGATCAATAGAATTGCAATGTTGTTTTTCAAGAATTAGCTGCTTCACCATAATTTATTTTTACAAATTTTTGCTCTCTTTTTTGTTTAAACAAATTAATTACCGTCACAATTGTGTCGCCATTCACGCGCAAACAGAGGTATACAGGTTGGGGGAGAAAGGAGGTAGGTAAGTAGGGCTGCAACTTGGGCGGGTTTGAGGTATAACTTGATCTTAACCTACTATATGAAATGTTAAATCTAAAATCAACCCTAATTCTATCTTTAACACTAATTTCTTGACCTGAGTTCAACTCATCTTTTTACTTTTAAATTCAGGATTGTAATTCGGGCTTAGATTCTGGGTTAAAAATTCGGATTAATTCTGATTACTCATATGGCTAATTTTCATATCGAAAATTTAATATGATTTTGAATTATTTTTTTGATTAATTTACTCTTAAACAAGAAAAAGTGTATAGACCTTTTGTAAATTTTTAATAAATTACAAAAAAATTCTTAAAAAACTAATTATCCTAATTCTTAACATACAAGAAGTTAATATTTGACAAAAGAAGTTATATGTAATGTATTTAAAGTAAAAATATATATATAAAAATAATATTAGAATTCGGGTTCGGTTAGCTCGAGTTGTTAGCATCTAAAACCAAACCCAACTCTAATTAAATCCGGGTTTATATTTTTCAACCCAAACTCAACCCTAATTGTAAAATGATTGTCCAAGTCCGAAAAAATTGAACTGGGCTCGAGTTGAATTCGGATTGCCCAACCCAAATTGCGCCCTTAGAGTAACACATTGACGTTGAGAAGAAACCTACCACGAAGATGGCATGAAAAGAGCTGAACCCTTGACGAGTTGAAGGCTAAATTCTTACATGAATTCTCAGAACTCTGAAGTATTTCTTTACATGGCTGGAAGCTTAATTGGATTCAATGTGGAAAAGATCAGTTAATGAAGATTTCTTAAGCTAGAAAATAAGTGCAAATTATAATACGATCTAGTATCACCAGATAATGTGGATGTTGACAAATTTACTACATGGGATCTCAAATGAAATTAAATAGGACATTTGTGATTTGAATAGTATATGTGTTGTGGAGCCGATATACGTATAGTAAAAAAAAATAATAATAAAATAAAATAAAAATAAAAAAAGAAAGTTTACAAGAACTAGAAGGTATAGGTTGGCATAGTTTAACATTTTTTATTTTTTGAAACGTGCCTGGTTTAATATTTGAATTGCAAGTGAAGTTGACTACTACTACTTATTTTATTTTCTATCGATGGTGGTGTCGGATTGTTTACAGTAGTTAATTAGTTTAGAACAGTTCATTATTCACCATTAAGCATATTCAGTTCTTTTGTCCACATGTGATGGTCAATTACTAAGAAAATTCTCTTGGGGGCTCAAGGGGGGTTTGAACTCCTAACTTTCAGTATTGATAAAATTTTCTAGGTGACTCAAAGGGGTTGGAACTCCCGACTTCTAGTGTCAAAAATTTTTCTAAGGTGAATCCAGGGGAGTTTACATAATGTAGAATTTGAAGTGAGAGTTTTTGCTATTAAGAACTTAAAAATGATAAATTTTGGAGTTAATTTCATTAACACATTCTGAAGTTTGAAAAAAATTCCCATGGAGATACTTTTTAGAAATTACTATCATTTAGATCCCAAATGACTTTTCCGTCACTCTTGCGGTTAGAATTGTGCAAATGAAAATTTTACCCCCAATTTTTAAATCTATTTTAATTCAAAATATCAACAAATTTAAAAGACAAATTTGCCCTCATTAAATGTCTATACACACATTTAAAAACATATATAAAAAATTATTTAATAATAAATATAAATTTATCTTAAAATTTATTTAAAAATTTATATATAATATATTTAATATAAATAAATAAGTTTGAGTTTAAATTTTAAAACATGAAATTGAATACTATAAATATAAAGCTTCTTAAAATATGTATTTTAAAAAAATATTTATATATAATATATTTAATTTTTAATATTCAATTAAATTTTTATTTAATGTTAACATTATTATTTATGTAAATAAATAATTTTGGGCCTAAATTTGTAGCATTTCTCAAGAAGATATATATATATAGTGAGAGAAGGAGAAAGAGAGAATAAGGTAGAAATGTCATTTTATACCATGGTCTGTCATATCGGCCAATACGCGATGTATCGGCCTGTTCATAACTTCTTAAATCCGATATCATTATATACTTGCATGAATCGACTGGTTCGGCCATTTTACACCAATATTCGCCAAGTCTGTTACACTACAACCGCAAACAAATCATGTTTTATGCATAATACAACTCTTTAGTAAGTCAACATAAAGTTAAAAGGGAAATAATGTCATTTTACATTTAAAAGTATTCCGACACTTTTGAAAAGTGATAACATTTGAGGGTGATTAAAAAATAGTCCAATCATTTATAATATAAGTGATGATAATTTTCGAAAGATATTTTGTGTCTTTTGGGCTAAAGTTTCTCTAGTCTTTTGGGTTAAGGCATTGCCATTATTTCACTCATAAGGTTAGTTTTCTTCTCACCCATTTAATATTGGACTGTGTGTGCGTGTATATATATATACATACATATACTAATGATGTCCTAGATATTGTTCTGATGACCCAGATCTGCAGAGGGATTCTCTATGAAGCAAGATGAGCTAATGTACCCCAAAAAATCACAAAAAAAGAAGTCAACAGAAAATCTAATTATAATCTGGGGGAAAATAATGGGTCATTCCACTGTAAGATTGAGTAAGTTTTTGCAGGAGTTGCCATTTGTTTCCAAACCCTCTTAATTTCTTGGGTCCTCTAAGAAAATTTCAGTCATCATTTCTACCTCCTCCTTTAAGCTTCGAATTTGACCTGTTGGGTTTGTGACATAGTGTTTGGTGGTCTGAGAGTCTTGGGAGTATTGATGTCAAAGGAGATAAGATGGGTTAGTTACATATTTAAAGACCACCTTTAAAACTCGAAAAGACATCGTTTACCATATTTTAATCTGATATGATAAGTTAGTTTAATGGTCAATCTTCAATATTCACATGACATCAGGCCATGTCAAATATGTCACGTCCATGAGTTGGATATTGTGGGGGTGGGTTCCAACCCTTTTTCAAACTTAATGAAACCTCGTTGACTAATCTGCTGAATCTTTGATTATATTACATCTGACTAGATCCTCCCATCACTCAATTCTCATCCAGAATCTGAACGAAAAGCCATTTTAACCTATATGTATGTATGTGTATATATATATATATACACGAACAATATTTAATTTAAGAAAAATAGAGGAGACATATGTCTCCTCTACGCCTTCTATATTGTTGTAATAATGTTTGATCAATTTGTCACCAGCTATTAATTAGGGCATTTCCAAAAAAATTTAAATTGGAAGGCTTGAGTTACTTATCGTACAAAGATACAAAAGTAAAATTGTTGAAAATCGTCAGCTCCATTAGATGGCTAGGCATACTTAGTTTATGTACGTGTTTCATTTATTTTTAAGTCTTAAAATGATAAAAGAGGCAATCGAAATTGAAGTAGGTTGAGCTTTAATTCTACCTCTCAAAAAATAAATACAATATTATTAACTTTGGTTCTACACTCATAGCATTTCAAACATTATCTATCTATTTTAAAAAAGAGTAGGGTGTCGTATCAGCTTACTTTAATAAAAGAGTGCTAATATGATATTATACGTTTTGTTATCCAATATGTTCCATGATGTGGAATTCAATTATCTCATTATCTATTTATTATTTTATTAATTTAATTTAAAAGTTAAATAAAAAATTATATTTTAATTTATTTATTAAAAAAATTATTAATTATTTTTTTGTCTTTTTCTCAATATCTATATTCCAAACGGCTATATTTCTAACAGCTATATTTCAATTTTTATATAAACAAGTCATTTTACCTTCTTTTAATTATCAAGTCTACTTCCTTGCATTCTCAAGTCCATTTTCTCTTCTTTGAGTTATCATATTTTTTATACAAAAAAACAATGGCTTCATTATCACGAGATATTCCTGTCTCCGAGTCTATTTCTCTATTGAATTGGTCATATTCAGATGATGAAGATATTTTTTAAATTCATCGAAAAAGGATGAACGCTGTGAGGAGATTATTATCGTTTGATAGGGTGCGGGATTCTTTCAACCTCGTAAGAGAAAATATATTAAACGTGATCGAGAGGAGGCAGCACAACATCTATTCCAAGATTACTTTGCTAAAAATCCGATTTATCCACCAAATATATTTCGTATAAGGTTTCGGATGCGACGAGAGTTGTTTCTTTACATTTTGAACCGTGTTACAACATATAACGAATGGTTCATCCAGAAACTCGATGCTCTTGGTCGTATGGGGTTCACTCCTATACAGAAGATGACTGCTGCAATACGTATATTTGCATATGGAATTTCAGCTGATTTATGTGATGAGTATATAAAGATTTCTAAGCGTATTGCGATTGAAAGCTTGAAAATGTTTTATGATGCTATAATTGTTGTGTGTGTGGAATGATACCAACGCACACCAAATGTAGATGACATTGCATGTCTGTTTCGAGAAGGGGAGGAGAAATGATTTTCAGGTATGTTTGGCTCTATAGATTGTATGCATTGGGAACGAAAAAATTGCCCCATAGCATGGCATAGCACACAAACAGGAAGAAGCCATAAACCTATCCTCATATTGGAGGCCGTTGCATCGAAAGATCTGTGGATCTAGCATGCTTTCTTTGGTGTTGTTGATTCACACAATGACTTGAATGTCTTCGATCATTCCCCAGTATTCAAGTGCATGTTCAATGGTACAATGCCTCGGGTTAATTACAAGGTGAATGGGCATCAACGTATAATGGG